ATGCCCACTGGCCAATATTTATCCACAATTCTATGTTATTATCCACGATAAGGCCCAAAATATGATTAAACACCTTCCAAACCAACGATCAATGTTGCCCACTGGCAAATATTTGTCCACGATTCTATGTTAATATACACGATAAATCCAAAATCTCTTTAAAACCAACGATTAAGGTTGCCCTCTGGCAAATTATACTTGTCCACAATAAGAAAATGTTTACAAGGAACAAATCATATTTCCCAATTACTCTCCGGCGTATACATTGTCCACGAATACGGGTCGACAGTTTACTTTCGTTTTGAAATAAACAATACAATTTCCACCCAAAAACTTTCGCCAATTGACCGGTTTCCCGCCTGAGCCCCCAGATGTCACGGAATTCTTGAGAAACCGGTCTTGGTCACGTTACAGGACTACTACTCTACGACGTACTTTTATAAATTTTAATAAATAACGGAAAAATATAAACTTTTATGTTAAGTCAGCCATCTTGGTTCTTCCCCAATCAAAATGTCCTTCCCCCCTGCAGAGCTACACAGCTCCCCCTAGCGTTAGTTTTCAATTGAAACTAAAGATTTGTGACATCGGACATACCCAAATTTTTCCGAACATCAAACAAATTTTCCCAAAAATCGAAAAATTGACATAATTTCCCACAAAATTTACAGAATTTGTCCCATTTATTTTTATAATAACCAAATACTGCCCGACTGTAAAGCGAATATTGCCCAACTGCCTTAGTTTGCCCAACAAACTGGGGTTATTCAGATTAAGAGAGATTTTCTTGTTTTGACTCCTTTTGCCCGACTTTGCTTTCGAACATTTCCGGTTCGACTTTTCTATTCTCTTGTGGCCTTGGGGCTCCCTCTGCCTCCTCCGTCCCGTACGCCTATGATAATGAGGTTAACACGATTTTCCATCCAGCAAACCGCCCTATCGAATTTCTAAAGTCGTTTCGTTTTGGATTTTTTTATTAATTCGGTTAGGGTTAGGGTTAGGGTTAGGGTTAGGGTTAGGGTTAGGGGTTAGAGTAGGGGTAGGGTTTGGGTTAGTTACACAGCCATTTAACAATCTCTTCCATCTTCCGAAAATGACGTCAGGTCAGTTTGCTGGATGGAAAATAGTGCTAACTGAATAATGAAAAAATGCCGCATGTGATTTGAAAATTTAGCGAACGCAAACCAGAGACTTTCATTCGCATGGCTTTATAAAATGTCAGTTCGAATAATATTTTTAAGAAAATACAAAGTCAAAGGATATATTAATAATATATAAAGATAAATACACTCGAAGTTTACAAAAGCTCGATTCGAATGGCACAGACGATCTAGAACTGGAAAATATTTCACTGATGAAACGGGAAAATAAATCGCTCAAAGAAGACCGAAACCTTCTAGAACAAATTCGATCAAATAACAACTCGAAACCTTCTAGAACAAATGTGATAAATGTAGAATTCCGGGTAGAATTTGAGGAGTGTTATAATGGTGAAACAGGTTGGTGAAAATTAGGTCGAGGATTGCAGCACCGCTTGTTGGATTTTTAACGGTTTGTCGCAGGTTAAAATGGTTACTAATATATCGGTACTTTAAACGATTAAAATCGCCAACCAACATAATTCCAGCATTAGGATATTTGTTCAAAGCAACATCCAATGATGAAATTAGGTGATCCGTAAAAGTAGCATCATCGTCTTGTGGTGGGTGGTATATAATACCGATGATTAGGCAAGAAAAGCCTCGTGGGAGTCTGTTCGGGCGGAGGTATACCCAAAGAGATTCAAATGGGGAATCATTAAGTTCGTCAATTGTTGTGAAATCAATTGATGATTTGATGTACGTACAAACACCACCACCACGTTTATCAGCGCTTCGATCTTTCCGTACTAGCGTGTAATCACTAATGTCGACTACTGAGTTGGAAATATTATTGGTCAGCCAAGTTTCTGTAATACAAACTATATCCACGTCGTTTTGGTTAATAACAACTTCCAGATCCTCAATTTTATTAACGAGTGATCGTGTATTAGAAAGGAAGGGCATAAATTAGCGGACATATTCCGGCACATCATTTACATATCAAACAAATTGAAATATCTCGGGAACAAACCATAAAAACAAGAAACTGAAAAATAAGATCTAATATAATTATATCGAATAAACACACACACACACATCAACATGTTGCTTGAAGCACTTTGTGTTTATTGCTGCTTAAACGCTCGAGCTAAATGCTCTTACATAGTAAAGAATAAATATACTCTACTTATTCCAAGATCTGAACCTTTAAGATCTTGGTGTGAAGATGAAAAACCCAACCTGCATAAAACAGGGCGGAGTATTTAAAAGTTCTCTTGAATATTGTCACTCAATAACATTCGTGTTATCAATTCCTTTACAGATTATTAATACGATAATCTAAAACACACTCCTGGGAAAACCGTTCTTCACTACAATGTATAAATGTTCACGTTCGTATTTTACGCATTCGCCTAAATAGACAAGTTTTTAGACACCTCGAATTGCATGCTTGCCGATGGTTTAATGTACTTATTCTTCGACTGTACCGACTTCCATCCTCCATGACTCTGCATTGACAGGTCGGACAAATCGTGGCAACCTGGATCGGATACACCACCACTCTTTAAGCTGTGAGTTCCCAACTTTCTCAAATCCTCGTAAAATACGCCCAAATTCTCTTTGATGATATCTCAAATAGGAGACGTAGATCGGCCGGAGATGCGCGATTACGCCCGTGTTTCTGAATTAACGTTTCTAACATGTAAGGTGGGACAGGATCTTTAGGTTCTCTTGGTCGAGAGAGAATTCGTCGGCAGCCTTCGTAGGTAGATTGAACCAACGGTTGCTCTGTCGGGTAGGGTAAGCGGCCAAAATATGCCCCCAACGAATGCTATACACAGCAGTATCCACAGGTGAAGTTGTCTTGGCGGAATCTAGGAATTGACGCAGATATAACGCCACGAACATAGGCTGAGCAGGAAGGTACCAAACACCAATCTTAGACATGGACCAGATCTTCCATCTGTTCCATCCGTAAGCATAGCGGACTGTCGTATTTCGATCCTTTGCATTTAACACAACCCGAGAAAGCGAGGAAGCCAACGATACAAGCGAAGGATCCTGTATTTTGGAGAAATCCTCCCACACTCCAATTTTAAACTCATCTAAATAGAAATAAGTAAATCATAATAGAATATAAACTTCGAAGACTACATTCGTCACACGACGATATGACAGCACTAAAAGACTGCATTAATTAAATAAAAATTAATTTATTTTTTTTTACGAAAATGTATCTAGCCGTTAAAAGGCAAATGTAAAATTTAATTTTTACATGAACAGGTCGAATGACCGATGAGATGACTTTGTAACCAAAATTTGGTGGCCAAAACCCCTGAAAAAATGCAAACTTGAAGTGTTTGAAAATCAACACATTAGTTGCGTTATCAGCAAATAAACCAAATACTGTAGCAAAGTGCTATTAAACAGAACAATCACACCAGAAATGGAGCGAATCAGTCGAAAAGACATGAGGATAAAAAATAAATAAAATGCTTTGAAACGCCACAATTTGTCAAAAAGACACGGTGCTAAAGACCAAGCCTAATCATCATGCTTTAAAACTCTACCCGTAAAGCCAGTAAGTCAAAACTTGGTGTTCCCGTAAAAACGGACGGTTTCTTTTGATAGGCTATCAATTGCCCTTCACCAGGAATGCACATCTGTGCTATTTTTTTTTTTTTTTTTAGTAAAACTAAACTGTCCTTAACAAATGGAGCAAACTTTCCAGGTTTGGTTTTAATGGCTGGCCAAAAAATAGCGGACGGCCAACGAGGAACTATAAAGGTACCTTTGGCCTTACACACGGACATGTGTCTAATGACGGGAATGATTAAAGCCACTGGCGAACAGACCCAGTTCGCTTCGTTTGACCAATTTTTAGTAAATGCGTCAACAGCCTCTGTTTCAGGACACCAAAATCGTGAATTGAATCTTTGTAATTGTGTATTGTAATTAGCGGCGAACCTATCAATAGTAAAAGGACCCCATGCTCTATGAAGCATAACAAATAATTCTGGGTGTAACTTCCAATCATCTAAATCAATGGTTTTGCTTAACACATCGGCAGTCCTGTTTTCTGCTCGAGGAATCCATTGTGTTTCAATCATAATGTCGTTAATGAAACAAATGTTGAAAATGTCTACTGCAATATTTTGGAGTTCGAAAATTCTACTCCCGACTTGAACGATGCGACAGGCGCTCTGGCTATCTGAAAATATTTTCACCTTTTTATGCTGTAAACGTTGCACAGAAGTTTTCAAAACTAGTAGGATAGCCGATAACTCCCGGAACGTGGAACTCTTACCACTTTGCTCAACGGACCAATGTCCGTGTATATTTACATCCCTCAACGAGGTAAAATAACCACCATAACCAACGCCACTAGCGTCAGTGTGGATTGTTAAAGGTTCTAAAGACACTTTTGGCCGAATGTTATACCCGTTTAGATAACGTAAATTGTCTAACCAAAATCTCAATTCCTCCATCAAAAAGATGTGGGACGCTATCCAAATGCCCTGCCCATGAATCTCTCTGAGAAATTATGAAAAAGAGTTGCCGCGAAAAAAGCCTCACAGGTGGACCGACAGCTAAATACAATGAATTGATGAAACCGGCGATTTTTGCCAGTTCTCGATATGAAACGTGATTGGAAGACAAAATGTACTGAATGTTTTTCTTAACTTTCTCGATTTTCCGAGGCGGAATTTCGAATTCAAAATTGATGGCGTTAATAATCATACCAAGCCATTCTCCGATTTGCATGGGCTCCCAATGACATTTTTCCTCATTCGTTTTAAGACCGGAACACGATAAATCTTTCTTTTGAATAATACTGGCCGCAGAAGCATCAATACGACGTTTATGACCGGAAATACCGTCGTCTAAATAGACAAAAGAGGCGTAGGACATCATACGCCATCGTTTCACTAACGGCCTAAGTAATTTGGTAAAACAATAACAAGCTGAACTTAGGCCAAAAGGTAAAACACAGAAAATAAAATATCTCAACTTCCCGTTAAAATTCCACGAAAATCCTAGAAATTTTCTGGGTGCGACATAAATATCAACATGATGATAACCGGATTTAAGATCCCATGTGAAAAACCAAAAGTTCTGTTCAAATAATTGAGATAATGATCGAAGATCCTCATATCGAAATGATTGTTTGAGCAAATGCCCGTTAATGTTGCGGAGATCAAGAACTAAACGTAATTTCTTTCCTTTAGCAACAGATAAAGGATTAACGCAATAGGGTGGTTCGGATTGCTCCTCAATGTATTGACCTTTCAGTAATTTAACAATTGCTTCTGAGACAAAGTCAGGATGATCCCTGGCAGATTTATTGTTAGCTAAAAAACAGGTCTCGGGAATGGACCGAAATGGAATCATATAACCGTCCTGCACTATACTTTGCACAAACTGGGAGGCGTTAAGTGTATCACGCCAGTAACTCGAACACCTGTAAAGCCCCCCCACGCACACTATCACTACAAAAACTCGCATGCACATCGTCACTATTAGAACTAAAAAGGAATAATCCAACCTGGTCTTCCTCCTCACACTACAGATCAACTTCTAGTCAACTGCTCGATGCTGGTCTTGGGGGACACATATTGCAATTCCGCTGAAGGTGACCGGTACTGTAAACACTGTAAATAATAGAATAACATATATGACCATCAACATTAATATAATAAATAGAAAATAAGTTTGACTGAAGAACGTGTAAGCAGCGAGGAATAATCAAGGCGTGTATACGCCTTTTATACTATTGCATGACAATGTAACATAGTTATGTATTCATATCAGAACATTATTCTGCATATCAAACAATTAGATATAAATTATCTGCTAAACTGCGTAACGCAGATAATTAAAACATCTAATATAATTATATCGAATAAACACACACACACACATCAACATGTTGCTTGAAGCACTTTGTGTTTATTGCTGCTTAAACGCTCGAGGTAAGAACAAAGCAGTCGTATGACAGCTGTCGACCTATAGTGTTGTGACTCTAAAGCAAAACACAATGCTATATACATGGATGCAACACTTAACTTATAACAAGGCCCAATTGCATTCCCGCTTGGACCATTGTGGTCAGGGAACACTGGTCGACGTGAGGCCATAGAATTACGATATGGAATACGGTTTGGATAGCCCTGAAACGGCCGAGACTTTGATGTTTTGGATGCCTTGGCTTTCTTCGCCTTCTTTTCAGCAGTTTTCTCTGCGCGGTCGATCCGTTTCTCGTCATCTGAATTATCGGCTAGCTCGTTAGTCATATATTCAGCTACGGTTTGCCAACCATGGTCGCTCGTATCAGCTAATTTGATAAGCTTCATTCTTGCTTCTATGGCTACTTTACCTTCTTGTAGGAAGCTGATAGCTTTATCGATATCTTGATGCTCGAGAGCTGTGGTAGCACTTTCCACTGTGTCCAGCACACCAAGCTGGTGATTACATTGCGGCTCATTGCCCTTTGACTTAAATTGAGGTTTCTCTAAGCGAGCCTTCTTGTTCGCGAAGGTTTCTAGCGTCGCTGAATTATCAGCAGACAATTCTCTCTTCAAGTGAGCAAGCCGATCATCGACAACATTGGTAAGCTGTTGGCACATTTGTGTTAACGACTTCTCCATGAATTCTTTCATATCTTTGCGCGAGAGCTCTGGATGAGACAAGTTTGACTGAAGAACGTGTAAGCAGCGAGGAATAATCAAGGCGTGTATACGCCTTTTATACTATTGCATAACAATGTAACATAGTTATGTATTCATATCAGAACATTATTCTGCATATCAAACAATTAGATATAAATTATCTGCTAAACTGCGTAACGCAGATAATTAAAAGTTACAGTACAGCTTAAAGAGTTCTTTCATTTAAGAAAATAAGAAATTTCATATCATATGCACTTTAAAACAATGGTGATAATGATTATGATTATAATGATTATGAAACATAATCATGACTATTATTATTAGATTATGATTATAAGTTAAATGATATGATTAAATTATTACGGTTATTATTATGATTATATAGGAAGAAACGTTATTCTCTCTATTTGATTGGCATCATGGTCATCGAAATTCCCTTTCTCCTCGCTTTCGCTGGATGGTTTCGGTTGTTTCAAGCCAACGTAGAACACCCCCAACTTATTCAAAAGCAAGACTTGTTTCAAATTCTGTTGCCACGTACAAAGCAAATGAAAGGGACGAATCAAACGTCTGTGCAACAGTATCGTACCAAATTCGAAGGACTGGATGTTCAAGATTTGCTTGCCAAAATAGAAGGCGCCACTGCTCAAAATCTACGAATACGTATCACTCACGACCAGCGAACTAAGAAATCACGCGTTGCTATAGATTATACCGAATTGGCTTTTCCAAAAATTATTGACATTTCGAAAACCAGTGGAAGAAATCCATCGAAGAAATATGCTTACGTCCATCATCAATACAATGACCAACTTTCGAAAAACACTCGCGCATTTATTAGCCTTTGTGCGCAAGCTGGAACAACCAGGCGAAAAGTTGTTAGGCCTTTTGTCAAACAGACAAAACTTAGTTCTGACGAATCCTGGTTTCTTTTGGAAACTTATTACGATGTCAAGTACTTAGACAGCCTGCTAGCAGCCGCTGATTATGCAACTCTTGTGGACATGGCGGAGTACTTGAAGGAATGTCCATCCAACAGTCCGGATCATGTAAGCATACATTTCATTGACAACTCACAAGCATCGATGGGCTTTACTGCAGCGACTCTTCGCTTGAAGGAAGATTATTATAAGGAGATTGTAAAAAACACCACTCAAAAAGGTTGGACTGAATGTTCATTTGTTGACAGAGCCATGAAGCGAACTCCTGGAAAACAATATTGCGTGAACGGAGATATTATAAAAGATTGGAAAGTATTTGAAAAAGATATCGTTAAAAATGAAAAATGTCTTAATATATACTTATGGAGAGGAATAGATGGTGTTACATATCGTTTGAAGTTCAGTGAAGATAATATGAAGTTTTCCTCAATTGATGTTACATATGCGTTGAGACCAGGTCAGCCCGTCGTGAACGAAGTCGAGCGTTTTGCGAAAGATGCCCTTGATGAGAACTATATTGCAGTGTATGTGCGAAGTGAGTTTATGCTACGAGGTTCATCTATGGATTATCTTCGAAAATGTGTTGATTTGGTGCTCGAGGTTTGTATTCGCATTTTGTATTGCCTAGATACAGCACACAACGTATAGGTGAATTAGTGCCCGTATTAGAGAAGTGTCCGTATAAGTGATGAGTCTGTATTAGAGAGGTATATGTACGTATTGGAGAGGTATACGTATTACGGTATTAGAGAGATTTATGTATTAGAGAAGTGTTATTCGTATTTTGTATTTCTAGATACAGCGCATAACGTATAGGAGAATTAGTGCCCGTAGAGAAGTGTCCGTATTAGTGATGAGTCGGTATTAGAGAGGTATATGTACTGTACGTATTGGAGAGGTATACGTATTACGGTATTAGAGAGCTTTATGTATTGGAAAAGTGTCCGTATTAGATATAGGTGTCCGTATTAGAGAGGTGCCCGTATTAGAGAGGTATACGTATTAGATCTTCGTGTTAGAGACGTGTACGTGTTAGATAGGTGTACGTGTTAGAGAGATGTCCGTAATAAAAAAGATGTTCGTGTCAGAGTGGTGTGCGTACTAGGGGTGGACCGTTAGATATCTGATGGGGGGTTGCGTAAATCCCCCCAAAAATATCGGGCAAGCACTTCTGATTTTAAAAAAATTTCGAGCAAAACAACTATGACTAAAAAAATATCGAGTATGCAAGCATTCAGCTCTCACCCTTACACATGCAGTTGTCATGCGCAAAAATTATAGAAAGGACAAGAGAATTCTAGAATGCTGTTATAATAAATGTCACTACGACTGCATCAACAAACGTGGCTATAGTATGGCCGTATCAGTAAAACGCATATCGCGATTTAAATTAAATACAATCATATCAAATACTTTAGAGGCAGAGCTTTGTATTATTCGAATACAACTGCCACCTATTCCACATCGCAATTTCCGTTATTGATATTTCTAGCCATGTTAAGAAAACCCTGGCACTTATTATTATTAATTACTTCATTAATAACTAGTGAGTAGTGTATTAAATGTATTCCGTGCAGAATAATACGTGTAAACTGTAGCTATCATGTTCAAGTTAGATAAATTAATCCTACATTTTGATCAATTCGTCACTATTAGGTTTCGGAAAAGCATTTAAACAATCATGTATGCACGTTCAAATCATTGTTTGAGCTGCGTATTGGTCAAATTAAAAATACTCTTAAAATGTGAAACGTTTTAAATTTTTCAATGACTCAATGAATCAGGAAAACTCAGGAAAGTCATGTCAGAACGTAGGAAATGCTGTTTCAGAGACCCAAATTTTCAAAAACTTTCCGGGGGAGCATGCCCTCGGACCCCCCTAGGAGATGTATCTGTCTAGTAAAGCGGACATCCAAAACACTGGATCTGCACCTTGACACCATCACCCGGATTAGTATTGCCAATTTGTGCATAACCCATTCGTTCGGTCAAGGGTTGTGGATTGAAATAGCTGAAATCACGAAGTATATTTTCAAAAACTCAATAATTCATGAGGAAAACACAAAGAAAAATCATAAGCGTGTCGTATTTTTAAGGCCCGTTTATACTTGCAATTTTTACCGCGATTTCTAGTGCGATTTTCTCCTTCTGATGGATGTGAACGAGTAGATGAGTTACGAATGTTCGGAGTATATGTACCCTCATCTGAACATTCATAACTTATCCACTCGTTCACATCCATCAGAAGGAGAAAATCGCACCTCAAATCGCAGCAAAAATTGCAAGTGTAAACGAGCCTTTATATGTGATGGAGATTTCCCTTGATTTACATAAACTTTAACTATGATTTTCTTGACTTACACAACGAATTTTTTTGAAAATTACTTCGCCAATGAACTTACTGTCTTACTAGATCGATCGTTTTTTAAGCAATTTTGAAAACATTCGCTGTCAGGGACGTAGCGAATCAGTGAAACTCAGGTAAAATTCAACTTAAAATTTTGACATTTCAGGTAAAATTTGCGTAATAAAGTCATTTTTGTGAAATGATAACCATTTTTGTAAAATACAGTAAATTTACACCCAATTCGTTTGCGAATTTGCTTTAGAAACTGACGCCAAAAATGCAGTCCTAGAGCTTCAAAAATGTTAAAATTTTCTGAGGGAGGACCCCCGACCCCCTCTTTTCTTCCGAAACTTAGTATGACAGTGCAAATCAATCACAAAAAGGCTTTATAATAATTATTACACTTCAGGTAAATTTTTAACGTTGAAGTTCAAATTTCAGGTGAAATCCTCCGACACCCAGCTTCAGACGCTTCCTTTACGTCCCTGTTCGCAGTGCGTGTGTTTATCAGACCTAAAAGATACTCGATCGGCTTCGCCTCGTATCTTCATATCTGATAAATACTGCTCATGTTTTAAAAAGTACATAAAGGCTGTGAAACTTTTGTATTCATTAAACATTTTCGAAAAAAATAATATCGTGCAAGAACACAGAGATTAAAAAATTCAGCGAGATATTGCGAGTACAAAAGTATCCGAGCACCAAAATTCGCATAACCACCTCCCCATCAAAAATCTAATGGTCCACCCCTTACAGAGAAATTCGAAATGTTCGTGTCAGAGAGGTGCCCGTATTAGAGAGGTGTACAGTACGTATCAGAGAGGTGTACATATTACAGATAGGTACGTAATAGCGAGATACAGTTCGGCTGTTATTGTTTATAACACGCTTTGTAAATATATTTTACCCACGACAGGTTTTGGTGGCTCTAAAAAGTACCACTGGTTTATCCCATGTTTACGTCGCCACCGATATGGGTGACTACGGTTCCAGTTGGCTTGTGCGCTATCGGAAGAAGCAACACCTAGACGAAAACTTCTTCAAACTTATCCATGATCATATAGTTGAAGAATCCCAAGGGGTGGCTTATATCCCTCCGTCTCATGTACAAGATCGCGGTGTGATAGCACTGGTTGATATGACTTTGATCTCTAAAGCACAGTATCTTATAAGTGCCGGTACGGGGACATTTCAAGCGTGGATTGCAGCGAGGTTCTTACAGAACCATCGTAATGATGAACAGCTATGGTCTAAAATCACTGTGTGTTAAGACCACTTACCTTGAGATGATACTGGATTCAGTAACTATGCCAGAGCGTTTCAGTTCAACCAGGGTGTCTATAAGAATGGGCGGTGAAACGCCAGTGAAAGCTTTGAAACATGTGTGATGCGCGGACCCCCACGTTGTTCGAAAGCGATTTCATTGCATTTTCGTGTTTTAAGATGGCGGGCTGCTTGAGCCATATTGAACTAAGGGCCGGACCATTAGAAAAGTGATGGGGGAAGCAAAAATAAAAATCGAGCACGAGAAACAGAAAAAAAAATTCGAGCACGAAAAAATAATTAAAAAAAAAATTCGTGCAGAGACTTTTCAATAGGGAAAATTATAAGTTGTGTAAGGGTGGCCCCCAAATTTGGAAAATAAAACGTTTTTTGATATAAGTAATGGTGTGAGAAAATTTTTTCTAAACCTAAATGCAGATATTGGTGCAAAAAACGCGTTTTAGGCATGTTTTAAGAAGAATTTGTCAGGGAAAATGTGTTTTGAACCTTAACTAAACTGATGTTAGTTACTCCGGCAATTTTTTTGACCCTTTTTTATTTCCTGAAAAAATTTTTATGTCCGGAAAATTTTTTTCTACCCCCCTCCCCCCCCCTCGCCAACAATTTTCGGAAAAAAAATAAAATTCGAGATAGGGATTAGTAAAAAAAAAAAAATTATCGACACAAGCAAAAAATTTTGAAAAAATCATCGTACGGGTTGGAAATGGATCCCCCCCCCATCACTTTTCTAATGGTCCGTCCCTAAAATATATGGAACGCTACGTGCAGCCCGAAGTCTGAAGCCGCGATTTCCGGTTAGAACCACGTCTTTTCCCGCGATAAATACGCGCGGCCAAAACACAAGCATTAATTTGATTTTATATAAAATTGTTTTAAAATATCAATCATGTCGCTGCAGAAAGATGTTTTTTATTGAATAAACTGTGTCTTTTTTAATGAAATTCATGAAAACTATGTCTATGCCTAGTTTTTATTTAGAATTTACACTTACGTTATTTTTTTTGTTTTTCGAAATGCCAATTACCAGGTGAGCAGAATGCAAAGAAGTTAAACCTAGTTTTGTCCCTGAGTGTGGAAAAATAAAAATCTTTCATATGTACTTTTGACCGACATTTAAACATGACGATAACAACCCTTATCAGCCATGAATGAGAATTAAGAAATAGATAGTATATTATTATGTATTTATTATTATAAGTATTTATTTATTCATTTTACTTTACTAAAAATTCACATTTCACAGGTATTTATTTATTCTTCGTTTACTTTACTAAAAATCCACATTGTTTCCTGCCAATACAGACAGAAGGGCGACAATTAAGCTAATTTACATAAATATTATAATTATTGTTATGGATTTCCTTTGAAAAATAATGCTTTACAAAAATGTTGGGAGAATTATGTTCGAAAAGTTAAAAGTTAAAAATAAAAAGCCATGGCAAGTCAACCAGTACAGTCATATATGCAGCAAGCATTTCCAATCAACTGATTATATCTTGCCTCCTTCGTCCAACAACACATGCCGACTCAAAGAATATGCTTTTCCATCTGGTTCAGCTGTACATTCTGACCCACCAACACTAACACTTTTTTGTAACATAAGCTATATGATCATTCCACGTGAGACATTCTCACATTCATCAATGACAATGGTAATGCCAAGAAATGTTGTACTTTTAACTTGTTCTACATTTACATCGTTCATAATATTTGAATTTTATGGTTTAAAGTTGGACTACGCCTACGGTACCAAATCAACACATTGCATGTTTTAAACTTGGACTACGGTATACCATTTTTGAATGAAAATTGCCAATAATTAGCATAAAACGGCCTTAGTTTACTTGTGAAATATTAGTTTATTGAACTTTATTCTGGTTAATTAAAGAACGCATATAGGAAGTTATTTCGCTGGCCTCAAAATGATATGACGTCATTATTAGCGATGGTAAGAACTTCGACAAAACTCAAGATAACGATTATTAAGGAGCCGCCATCTTGAATTTTGTCGTGTGCTCGTACGAGCTTCATAGAACTTCGTAAGTTCTTACGATTGCTAACAATGACGTCATGTCATTTTGAGGACAACGAGATAACTTCTTCCGTGAGATGACCACCCACTACCTCGCTTTTGAAACCGCTAGCAGCTTTCCTTTTCCCGGGTGTAAATAACCGTGCGGAATTAGTACCCTCGCCCCGGCCTTACCGCGGAAGAGATTATTTCGCTGGCCTCAGAATGACAAAACGTAACAAAGCAACGATATTACTAACACTAACCCTACTCCAAACTCTAACCCTAATCCTTACCCTAACCTAATCCTTACCCTAACCTAACCCTATGCCATATTTGTTTCTAAACCAATCTTGAAGAAAAACGTTTTGACGAAATATCATCCTGAGGTCAGCGAAATAGTTGATGCCGCCTTTACGCCCGGAACGGTGCGGAGTTGGCTCGGGGATTAATATCAGTTGTATAGGAGAGCGAAGCCGAAGTACAGTATTATGTTAAAATCTGCAAATTTTCAAAACCTTGTGAATCTTTAATAAGCAGTGACCATGCATCAACGGAAACGGAAAATACTGGTTTATTTCAAAACGTTTTACTACACTTTCACAATATAATTATAGCAGTAAAGCTCTGAATATCCGTATTGAAATCACTGTGACATTTACACTTTAAATTCCAGCCTATGGCTATGATGTTCGTTGAGTCAACACGATGCTTCAGTGCAATTCTTCAATTCGCTTAAATGCGTTCATGCATTATCATATATACACGGACAAATGCCAGCTGATCCAATTGTAAATCAACGCTGTGATAAAGTTACAATTTCCATAACATGGCAACAGCCTTGCATACACCAACGTCATAAATGTTCAAGTAAGCTAAACCAAGGAATGTTAACACAGATATACCAGTCCAGATGTACACTGCTGTTGTTGTCACAGCTTTGGTAGAAAATATTTCAGGGAGGTAATCTGACAATACTTCTTTAGTTCCCCTAGAATAAAAATAAAGTACATGGTTGAGCAGTGGTGGACTTTTATAAGAACATATTTACAAAACCAGTGCAGTAGTAATGACATAATTTGACAGGATGGAATTGGAATGGTTTTGGAATGAATATATTGAAATTGATGTATAGCTCATGTGTGTTCTGTCGTTGCAGATGCAGTCACTCTGCAATTAAGCCTACCAAAAAATCCTGTGGTTCCAGTTTCATATCCCGAAAAAATTAGGGGAGGCAGGTTGGGACACAAATTTCTTGAAATTTGTTCTTGCTTGACATTAATTAATCGTCAGTGTGATCAGTTGACATTGACACAACACATGTAAGCATTTCAAAAAGCAATAACTGTGACAATGGACGCCATTTGTGGCGTCCCATTAACACGTTTCATTATAATAAAGTGAACAACGAATAAATAGGCTTGGTAGATAAGCAAAAAACTCTAATCACACAAAAAAACCATTAGGGTCAACAGAACTGGAGGTTACAATATCAGATGTAAAACAAATTTGGTTGTTAAACTGTGGTTTTTCCATGTTATTTCTAAACAGTACTAAACTGGATCTTGTATAACACTCAATAAACATTTATACTAAAACTGTCTGAAATAAATTTTTTTGTCACGTGATGCTTTCATACACTTAGTATAAAAGCCCGTGCATTTTCCCCGATCCATGCTACTAACTCTTGACGAAGGGTCAAGCTCGAAACGTCGAGTTTCTTCTTATTTTTTAAGGCAGTAATATAACCACTCAGCATGCACAGCAATAAACATTTAGACTTTAAATATGATTTTAATTACTACCCAATTTTAGAGCAGGCAAAACAAAATGGTAATACAGACAGGATTTTTCTTGTAATTCATCCCTTCAGTTTTAGAACATACATTTGTTAACTTAGTAAGATATTTGCACAACGTGAACAATTATATTATACATGCATTAACCACCAACCAGTATGAATGTAGAGGGAAGAAGATAGTTATTGCCCAGTCAATAACTGGTGTTGGAGCTAGAATAGCTGCTGGATATACACCAATCATGATTACAGAGATGTATCGGAACATTTTCCAATGAGGCGATCCAATTTCTTCCTTCTTTGCTACTAAGTAAGTTGTAAGAATAAAAAACTCATAAATATTTATTTCATTATTTTATATTTTGCACTAACAAAATATAAAATAAGTACACCCCTTCCATCCATACCAAAGTTACAGAGTACAGGCTAGCCTTGCAACTTTTTGCACTCAATTTAGTTACTGTAAGATTGTGAATTATTTCGAATAATAGAGAGCTTCTTGCATAAGATCAAACGATAAGATCTTGCATAAGATCAAACGTTTAATTAGTAATCATTACAAATTTTCAGCAGTTCTTGCTTGAAATCAAGAGTGACAATCAATGCATTACCAGGTTGCTATCATACTAAAAGATGTAATTTTCTATATGCGCCGTAAACCGGGGTGACTTTGTGCCAATTTCGTCATTTTCTACCACACTGTACAGTAAATACGTCACTGATTTTGAAATTATGTGTAAAAAAATGTGTGTAAAAAAATGTGTGTAAAAAATGTGTGTTGTGTGATTGTTGGTCAATATAGTAATAAGATGTATTTTCTTGTATGTTGCAGTAGGGACATCATGTTGTGATGGTCAAAGTCACCCAGGCCTGGGGACACTTTGACCACCTCTCAGTAACCCCTTACTTTAGCCCCGCCCATAAGCATGTATTACCAAAGTCATAACCTTCACATCAAAGAAAAGAGTAATTTGTACTTTTCCATAAATAAAATCCAATTTACAAACATTTACATAAGCAATAACGTCTGTTGGCTGCAAGAATACAAAAAAATTCAACACATATAAATTGTCATACTGTAATTTGCAAACATGCACAACTCTCTCTGCAACGACCAACGTCATTTCTTTAAAAATGGGAAACTGAGAAAATATTAATATGTTTCCAAATGAATGTTATATACTGAATGTTATGTACCGGCCCTGGGCAGCTTCATCATCGACGATTTTGTAGCCTGTCCTTGCAATCGTTTCAAGGGTACATGGACCATGGCATAGAAAACATACTTTGCTTCCACGATCTCTACATCCAACGTTTTGGGAAAACCCAGTAATCATCTCCTCGGTAGCGCAAAAAACTAAATTCGACACTTTTGGCATCTTCATCTGAATCATCGGCAAAACATAGTTGCATCTTCCCCCATTAACATTTTTGACCATAGTACACAGCATACAGGCGACCTTTCTTGTCATCGTCCAGTGACTTGTTCACCTCTGAAAATGTTTGTAATAACTTTTCCTTTTGCGAAAGTGATTTGGTTGATGGAGTACTTTCAGTCATCACTTTCAGAAGGTTTTCTGCTATGGACTTGCCTAGTTGGACATCAAGACGTTTCTCTTTCGGACGTCTTTGAGCTGTCTCGCATCTTCACCTCGCATATTGGCCAGTGTGTCCAGCGCTTTACTAGGACTAGTACTCTCATGGTGTTTTCACTTGGCAGTTTGCGATAAACTTCTTCTGGGTTGAATTCCGCAAGCCTTGAACCCGTTAACCAAATTCCGCAAGCCTTGAACCCGTTAACCAAATTCTGCTTGCTATTGCCTTCGCTTAACTTCTCAATAAGCTTCTTCAGCCGCCCTGCAAACTGTTCTTTTGGTAAAGTGTCATATTGACGTCCAACAGCCGTTTTTCTCCAATCAAACAGTAATGCTCTCCATGCTTTCTTCAGTGGAGCAAAGTAAGCCACATCCAGTGGCTGCAATAGATGTGTACCATTAGGAAAAATGCATATAAATGCGATGCTGTGCTAGTTACATGATTCAATGAGACGGGTGTTGAGATTGGATGACAAGTTGTCGTCTATGAGAACCGTTTTCCCATCTTGCTTCCTCAATTTGGGAAGAACAAGGGAGAAAAACCAATCTTCAAATGAAACCTCGTCAAACCAGCCAGTGCGAGTTCTGTTGTAACGGGCATCATTAGGTCCTCCTCTTATCCAAGTATCATAAAGATGCACTGATTTATATACAGTGTATGGTGGAATCATATACCCTTTTGCATTTCCACAAAACAGAATCGAATAGCACGATTTACTGTCCATCACTCTTTCCGGGTATTTAGTTTCTCTTTTCATTACAGCCTTCTTGCCTCCATGGTCATCCCAAAGATTAATTTCATCATAGTTATTTTTTTTTATATGAACATATTTATTAACTTTAGGGGCCATTCACAAAGGATGTCCGAGCCGAGGGGGGGGGGGGGGTTTGGAAAATCAGGACAAACTCGGACATAGGGGGGGAGGGGGGGTTTTTAGCAATCCGGATGTCCGAAATTTAAAAAAATTCAAAAACAAATTTCTTTTTTCCCTCTATTTTGAGCAGTCTTTCCCATTGTGAAATTGGCATTTTGACTATGCGGTTAACACTAGATTTTGTTTTAATTAGTAATTTATATGTTTTTGTGTTCACATTTACAGTTATAAAAAAGTTCTAAAAGTAAAAGTTTTTTACTCTTGATATATACAAGATTGCGTGAGTTTTTGCGAGGCATGGCGGATGTCCGGGGGGAGGGGGGGTCACTAATTCGGACAATGCCGGACAAGGGGGGGAGGGGGGGTCTGAAAATCCATCATTTGGCCGGACATCCTTTGTGAATGGCCCCTTAGTGTTTACCCAAGAGCGTGGACGCTCATCGAGGGGCTCACACTACATTTGACAATACGAACATTACAAAGAAAGAGGAAAAAAAAAAACAACAAAAGTGATAAAAGCTGGTTCAATTGAAGGTTCAGAAGTAATAAATTAATTCTTAGAAAAACGATTAGTTTGCTTAATATATTTTTGAACATGAATAAATATACATCTATTACTTTCTTTACTCAGATCAGTTGAACCAAACAAAAATATTTTAGACGTTTGAGAATCCGACAAGAGATACCGGCCTTCACCATAAATTTGAGCAGCTACCGAGAGTAAGGATAATCTAAGAGCAGCATAACGAGGACAATATAACAAATAATGAATGACTGATTCACAAGAATCTCCACATGAACATGCTGGAGATAATCTACAATTAATTCTAATTTCAGAAGTCATCCAAGGTTTATCTCTTGGACGAATTACAACTGTTCTGTTCGGAACAAAGGTTTTAAGTACTTGCATGCTCAAAACAATTAAACCACTCATTATATAAATCATCAACATTTTCAACATCCTGAAATAATTTGTCCCAGTTCACCTCCGACAAGGCTTGACATAACGTATTAGATTCTACTTTGGCTAAGTCCCAAATGTCTCGTTTATAACATTTTTGTTTGGCAAAGGAAATGTTTATCCGAGCATAAACTAAAGAATGGTCACAATTATATGGAAGGCTTAAAGTACCAGAATTAACAAAATATCCCGGAGAATTTGTTATAATTAAATCAAGTATTGAGGCACCGTGTGCTGTTATACGAGTTGGTTCATTTATCACTTGAAAAAGGCTATTGCACTCCATCCACCTATAAAAATTTATTCCGAAATCACTACTAGACTGAATATCGTTTGCGTCAAAGTGAGCATTAAAATCCCCAAGAAGTAAAACAAAAGTGCCGGGTCTAGCATTTATACTACCTACACAAAATTGTAAATGATCCAAGAGAGCATCATTAAGTACCGAATTATTATTTGGTGGTCGATAACAAACACCACAAACAAATGTTAAAGAATTGACTTTGATTTCAACAAACAATAATTCAAAATCATCATGTTCTAAATCATTACGCCTTATAGAAGCTAAACTAGAAGAAACATACAATGCAACACCCCCGCTCTTCTACCATCTTTTCTGTCCAATCTAAACATTGGACTAAAGCCTGGTATACATCATAAATCACCAGAAATACTCGGATTTAACCAAGTTTCAGAAACAGCAAAAATATCTAGTTTGTGTTCGATAACAAGAGACGAAATCTCATCAAATTTGTCTTCAACATTCAAACTTCTAGCATTAATATGGCCTATATTTAATGTTAAATTACGTGGACCGGGGTTAATTTCAACATCTCCAGACAATAGAATTAACAAAACTAAATAAGCTAAGTGGCATACCGCCACCTTATCTTCAATACATAAAAATTGACTAATAAGAGTCCAAATAGCTGCTCTATGCATTATCAAGCTAGGCTCCATTGGGATTAAAATACCAATATAAACTTACCTCGGGCTGCTCAATAGTTAAACAATTAGATACAAGAAGAATAAACACAATAAAGGACAAAGTAATAGAAAAAGCACTCATATAACTAACAAAGTATAATGAAATTGAGTAAAAGGTAAAGGAAGGAGATTATCGATCATGAATATGTACTCAAGTCCTCTTTTTGCTTAATAATAGAAATTGTACCATCATATTTTCTCTTAACAAAGATATGACCATCAGAGGTATAGACCGAAGCTGTATCACGGCACTTTTCTTTCGCATACATCAACAATTGCTGGTTGATTCTTGTTAAATCTTCATTCACATACAAAGATTCTCCCCGCAGCCTACGCTTGTTTTTTAATATTGATAGCTTGCTGTGAAAGCTTTTAAGCTTGATAATAATAGCACGAGGACGGCCATCGTCGTGCTGGGGTTTACCGATTCGGTGAGCACGATCAATTTCACTTCGCTCGATTGCCACTCCCAACTCGCGATCACAAAATTTCACAACTTCATCGTAGCAGTCCTCTGTTTCTTTCTCGGTAATACCATAGAAACGTAGATTGTTTCGGCGAGAGTACTGCTCATTTTCATTCGCTTTAGCATCGACTTCACCCAACTTTCGATGCAGCTCTGTCACTTCACGTTTTAAGCGAGTATTCGTGTCCTCGAGCGCTTTCATTCTAACATCGATTAGTTCAACGAATTCGTTCTTAAAACACTTGATAGCCGCTTCAACTGCGACATTAATTGCTGTAGAAAGAACTGCTCTAAAATCATCTGATTTCATAAAAGCTTCTATCTTTTGATCAGGATTGACAAGACACCCTTCGCCTTCGACTTTCGAGCTTGAGCGAGTCTTTGACATGATATCAAAACGTAATAAATTATCAGCAATCAATTTCAAAAGACTTCACATAAATTCAAAGTAGCTCCACAACCTTTCACTCAAAGGTTACATATAGATTTTAAATATATCAGTATTTGTAAACTTATAAACGGAGCTCAAAATCGCGATGCTCGCTCCTTGCCTGTTGAGCTTAATTAATGTATACTAAGAGCTTAATTAATGTATACTTCGCATAGCTTAATTGATGTATACTTCGTATACTAAGACGAAAGAAGAAAAAACAACATGGCTTCATGGATGGTGTAATACCATCACCTCGTAAATTTTTCAATTGGGAAAGTTATCAATTATCGTGCTATGCACGGCTGTTTTCTAGATTCAATTATCGTACGCGTTAAGCTAGTGCAAAATACAATATTAAGATCCTATGTTGGTTAGCAGAGGTGGCCTTTTGAGAGATTAGTCACTAAAGGTCTGAGAACATGATGATGTGAAGGCAATAACTGTTTTACACATTGTGAATACAGTTCATTCGGGTACAGTAGTGCCATTATCTTGTCCGTTTATCGACACCTAAGCAAAGTATACGTAACCAAAATCTGGACAAGTTTGAGATTTTGGAAATGGTGTATTTGACTTGAGAATTTCTTATTTTGTTGGGGAGAATTTAGTTGGGAAAAAATTTAACCGCACTTTTACAAAAGCGCGGCTATATTTTCGTTGAAAATGAAACATTACTTTTTCTTATTTAGTTTAAAGGATTTCCAGTCAAAATCGAAACAAGATCTCATCTTATCGACGTTGTTAGGCGAATTGTGTTCATCCCTATCCAACACCACGCTGTTAACTATCCTGTGGCGTACTATGGCGGGTTTGTTCCAAATTTACCCACCAAACTTTACGATGATCCACGGGTTCCACCTCGAGAATTTAGATTCGACAGTTTGCCACAAAGCCATGTTGCTGCGGTAAGATGAAACAACAACGAGAATGCATGCCAACGAGAATGACAAGGACGACGACGACGACGACGACAACGACAACGAGAATGACAAGGACGAAAAAGACAACAACAACAATAATGACAAGCACGCTACGACGACGACAACAACAACGAGAATGACAAGGACGACGACAACAACGAGAATGACAAAGATGAGAACAACACCACCAACAACACCAACAACAACAACGACAGGCAGTACAACGACGACGACGACGACGACGACGACGACGACGACAACAACAACAACAACAACAACAACAACAACAACATCAACGACAACAACAACAACAACAACAACAACAACAACAACAACAACAACAACAACGACGACGACGACGACGACGACGACGACGACGACGACGACGACGACGACGACGACGACGACGACGACGACGACGACGACGACGACGACGATAGCAACGAGAATGACAAGGATGTCAACGACAACAACAACAACAACAACAACAACAACAACAACAACAACAACAACAACGACGACGACGACGACGACGACGACGACGACGACGACGACGACGACGACGACGACGACGACGACGACGACGACGACGACGACGACGACGATAGCAACATCAACAATTTTTTAGCACATTAATTATTATAGATTAACGCCGTATGCATGGACTAACCGTAAATACGTCTAAAATTATACAGGAACAAGTTTCACTGTCCATGTCCTTGGGATCAATACGATATGACGTCATCTTCGACTACGGCAAATACCTAAAAGATGACCGTGCCAAAGCCGTTGTGAACAAGTGTCACGATCGACTTATAGGAGGCATTAATGACCAAATTAGTGCTAGAAATCAGAAAAGGTTGGCAAACGGAAAGTTGAGTTATCCCTACTTGCTTCCAAAATGGATGCCGAATAGCATTCACACATAGTTGTTGATCTATGGAAACGCAGTGGCAATGCCTTGAAAACTGTTATTATTCAGTATTATTACTAAATCTTAAAGTTATTTTATATGTTTTATGTATTCAACTCAACTGACTGTATTGATTAAATAGATCAGGATAAGTTGCCTCGTTTGCCATGGCAAAATTAACTGATTAGATATAGCCATGTTTTTCAACCATACCAAGAGATGTCTTTTCATGCGATAACTTGTATACGCGCGCTGATTGGTCAAAAATTTATCGTTATCGTCCGACTGAGAAAAAAAAAACGTTATCGTCAAATGATAATTTTATCATTTTCGTTGAGTGTGGACACCAACATAATTTTTTCCCAATCATCGCGTGTTTACAAGTTATCGTATAGTTATCGTTGTGTAGCGTGACCGGGCTTTTAGAATATTTATAGAATATAATTAGAATATAATTGTAAACCTATTACACTAAATATACAGTGACGAGTTTCTTTCTTCAATAAATTTTCTTGACTACATTCTAGTTTACATGCTTCCTCAAAACATTGAATATAAAAATGATCGTTGTCAATTGGTTATTTTATCGCTTTCTTTTGTCTTTCTGTGTCGGAGCCATTAAAGTTGCTTGCTTCTTGCGTTGTTCAAAAAGATTGACTTCTTCGTCCTAGAGTAACGAAAGCAAAACAGTTGGAAAAGTTACATTCAGAGAGCATAAGGTACGTTTACACGCAGCGATTCGTTGTGTAGGAATACGAATCCTACTGTAGGATTCGTATTCTGGCGTATGTTATCGAATAAGTTTTTTCCTATGTTTGTTGCAAACCCAAATGTCACGCATACAGAATCGATCCGTTAAAGGGATACGGCAATTGCAGCAAGACCGAGGTTGGATATTTTCCCGTTCTGCCCTCACTCTCGGTCAGTAAGTTACTTATTATATGGCATTGTACGTTTGTAAAAAAATGGAAGAAAAGGTCACGCGAGGACAAAGTCCAAAACAGTTTGAAAAAAAAAAAATTGTAAAAAATGTTCTTTGGTTAATAGTAAAACTGCTCTACACTACTTTTTCCATAGAATACTAACACAGTTTGGATAGTATTTCAAGAAAATACGAGGTATTTCGTCATTTAGGGACCAGTCATTATTTATGGAAGGGGGGAGGGGAACTTTTTCTTTCCTAAATTTTTAAAATTGAAAGCCCCCCCCCCAAAAAGAGCAGAAATTTAATGATGAGCCCCTCCTCTACATATTAGAATATTTTTCTTTGATCCCCCCCCCCCATTTTCATTTTTACTCGACAAGTTGGGATACCCAGGCGTTATAATGTTAATTATTAATTAAATAAGAATATGGAGCTGACAAGATATTAACGTCGACCAAAAATATATATTAGCAGAAAATTATACATAAAAGAGGGGTATTTTCATATATAACTCTAAAATCAGGTTTCCATTTGATCTGGGCGATTGTAACCATGTTTAACGGCAGAGAATTAATAGTAGTGTTTGGAGGCAGGTGCCGTTTGTGGTCCAAGACTGTAACTAGATTTGATGGCACAAAGTATTGCCATAGGAGCTGCATAGCAATGAGAGTAACAATCAGTAATATTAGCAGCAAAAGGAGATAGCCATGACAATTCTGGAGATTCTGCCAAGGCATACCTCCGGCACCAGTCACACTGACAAGTCAGTGGAAACAAAATATAATGTATAGTGGTCTATACATCCTATTTTATGTGAGATTAAAAATTATATAAAATAAAATGACCTACTACCAGATAAAATCCTCTAGAATAAACATGGGTGAGTGGGTGGGTGGGGTGGGTAGGAGAAAGGTATCTAAGCGCTAAACTTGCTGCAGCTAGGCAAAGCATACAATGGCAGTATGAATACCCAGACCGAAGCACTGATCACAAGGCGCGAAACAACCCCCCTTTAATCGATATGACGTCACAAACTCTCATCAGTGGATGTGGCCTGCATAGTACATTCGCCGTTAACCTTGCTTAAATGTATTTAACCACATCAAGATAGCTGATGTAATAATACATTGTCAATTTATCTCTGCAATCAGTAAAGACTGATTTGCATACAGCACATAGAAGACAAGATAAATTCAGACTATTTCACAATAAAATTCAATAAAATTACAAAAACAAGTAGGTTTTTAGTTCGCTTCATCTCATATTTATGTCTCTTTTTATCTAACAAAAACAGAAATTTTCAGGGAAAATTATAAATCAGTGCCTGTTTAATTGTATTTTTTATTTAGGATGATGTCAAATTCCTCCTGGCTATCTGCAAATAAAATTTGCAGCTCTTCGCATTGTCAAAACACAACTATTCCTGACTGCTTTTAAAGTTATAAACATTGTAAAATTTACCTTGTAATTTTGCCTTTCGCTAACAAAAACGTATGGAGAAAGTTCTTTAACCACAGCAGTTGCTCGTCTTTTTATTTTAGGTTTATATTCCTTCGTTTTGAATAGTTTTGAAAGACTTTTAGACACTTTTTGCTGTTTGAAACTCGGCTCTCGTCGCAGGGCAATAAAAATTACGTATTGTCCGTGGGCAATGGGGGAAATCCTGCCTCGTCAGCAGCCAATCAAATTGCGCGATTCATCAAAACAAATGCTTGCCATATAATAATTTTTTTTATTATATATCAATAGTCAAAGTCGCATTTTTCTAGTGTTTTATTGGTTGAGAGCATATCACGTGAGAGTGACGAAATTAGGCTGTCTCCCTCGCAACAGCGCGAGAGGGAAACAATACGTTATCGACCGGCGTGTCGTGAATTGCCTCCTATATTCACAACAACTCACTAAAAGTAGAGATTTCAAACGCTTTTATGAAAAATATATTTATTCTCGCCCCGTCTCAACACAATCACACAAATTCGTGCAATGTACAAACCGCATGCTTTTTGATTGACACTTGCGCATTAATTAACTTCAGGTATGCCATAAACTGTTAAATATTAAATATTGACAATCTCCAACACTCTCCTCCCATTTATCTACTATTTGAGATAAATGTCGTCCAATACATCTGAAGATTGACCAATGATACAACTGTACTAAATGTCAACCTTAGTATATTTCTAAATTGTTCTGACTGTTCACAGTTCAGTGTCCAAATGTTCACTTGAAATTAAGTCTATTGTTCATCCTCCGCGATCTCCTGAACACGCAATTTGGCCGCTAACTGCAGCATCCCGCTTCGGTCTAAATGTCTCCGCTTTCGGGTTGAGTATTGCCAGTACTGGTTCTTTCTTGTCAACCGAGAGCTCTAGTGGGTACAAATGCTGCACGGCACGCTCAATTTGAGACTTCTCTGTACGTACTTTGGCTCCCCTGATTTTTCCATCTTTTCCCACAATCAGCGCTTCGACAATTCCTAACGGCCAACGACCACGTTTTCCCTCATCTGTCGCAATAATCACTACGTCTCCGACCGTTGGCACTGCTCCACTACATTCCGCTTTCGAACGATGTCTCTCACGAAGGCCACGCAAATATTCCTGGGTCCACCATCTCCAAAGCGCTTCTTTGCATTTCATCAAGTGTTTCGCTCGTTTTCTAAGGTCACCGTCCTCAATATTATATGGTTGCAATTCGGGCAAAATATTACTATTCAGAAACAACATCGAATTTGGCGTTAACACTGGAAATTGCACGTCATCCTCCACGTAAGATAATGGACGGTGATTTAACGCCACCTCGACATCAAGCAATACTTCCTCTAACTCGTTCCATCGCAGGAAACCGTTTTCAATGGTCTTGCTTAACGCTGCTTTCACGAGCCCAATCATCCTTTCGAATTGCCCGCCCCACGTAATCCAATGCAGAACTACCGAGCTGTCCGACCCACATTGAACTTTCGTACCCGGAAATCCGATCAATGCCTCCTTTACGTTTGAAGCCAAGTTGACTGCCATATGCGCCGCTACCAGTTCAAGCCTCGCAATCATTAATCCTCGCTTCGGTAGTCTTGATCTTACCGCGACTAGGCCTTGGTTGGTCCCCGAATCTTGCTCAACTACGGCATAGACACACGCCGCAACCCCGTTACCGCTCGTATCTCCAAAGGAATGCAGTTGGATGGCTTCAATTGGCTCTTGATAAACTGCCAAGGATCTCTCAGTTTCCACTTGTACTGGAAGTTCACTGTTCCACTTGTTCCACAACTTTGCGAGGGTTTCTGAAAGTGGTGCATCCCAGGCGTTCTTGGTGTCACATGCTGCATGGTAGGTAAGTTTACCCGTAAGCGTTAAAGGAGATACGAAGCCCAAAGGGTCATATATCTTGGCGAGCTTTGACAAGACGCCCCGTTTGATGAACAGCGTCTTTTCAGTGGGCATTGTAACAGCGACCGTATCTCGTTCTTTACTCCACGCAAGTCCGAGCAAGCAACTATCTGCCCCTTCTGGGGTCCCTAACTGCTGTTTTGCATAGGTAGGATCACCGTCTTGAGACTGTGTCGTCTCTAATTCACACTCATTCGAGTGCCATTTGTGAAGCTTAAACCCCGCATCCTCGAAAATAGTTGTTGCTTTCTCTTTAACTTCTTCCGTTTCCGATACTGATGTTGACCCCGTTATCAAATCGTCCACGTATAACTCTTCACGAAGTTTTGCTACTACTTCCGGTTCTCTTTCTTCCCAGTTACTCAGGTGTGCATCAATGACTCCCCCCAACAAGAAAGGAGATGATACAAGCCCGAAAAGTGCCCTGGTAAATCTCAGGGTCTCTAGTTCTGATTGCTGATCTTTCCGCCAGTGAAATCGAAGCGCGTCTCGGTCGTTTTCGCGAAAACGTACTTGCAAAAAGGCCTTTTGCAAGTCACCCGTCAGAGCTACTGGATGAAACCGTCCTCTAAGTAACGCATCCCACATTCTATTTTGCAATGGAGGTCCCGGATGTAGACACTCATTCAGCGATGGAACACCGTCTTGTGCTTTTGCAGAAGCGTCATATACGACTCGGATTTTTGTGGATTCTGCATCAGGTCGAATAACTGCTTTGTGAGGGCTGTAGAATTCTCTTCCCACGCTCCGCAGTTCAGCTTTCTCAATTATCCCCTCTGCCTTCTGTTCCTCCATTATCTCCCCGTATTTGGTTGTCAAACCTTGCCGCTCGAGTCTGTTCGTTAAACTTGCTAATCGTCGCAAACTATTAGCTTCATTGTTGGGTAATACAGGATGGTTGCCGCCCCACGGTAGCCCTGTTTCGTACCAACCAGCTGGGTCCCGGGCGAGTTGTTCTTTGAACTCGTCAAATACACTGTGCTGGTCGTTGGTGGGTGTATCTTTCAAACCCAAGACATCCAGGCGACACAGTTCTTCGTAATCAGCCTGGGATGTCTGAGTCAAAAGCATATTGGTCACGTCGCAGGATTCTTTTCCAGGGGACATGATGGTCCATCCAAACTGTGTCAACTCAGCTACCGGTTGCCCCGGTTGACCAACTCTGGGTGGCTGATCAGTTTTCAACATCGCGTAGTCACTTGCTCCGAGAATGATGTGCACCGGAAGTCGCTCTATCTGATCAATGTCTTCCATGATGACTCCTTTCAAGTGTGGGTTTTGCTCTATCATGTTCTGATATCTCGGATTGTCTATGAACACAAGTTCTCCTTTGTTCACCTTGGTGACTTCGATGTTCCCTTGATTTCAATGGTTGACAATTCGACTTCCCTCGTAGTCACGCCGAGCATCATATCAATTTTTCGTATTTCTTTCTTGGACGGCCGCTTTGGAATGCGATCCAACAGTGCTGCCGACGCGTAGGAACTGCCTGCCCCGGTGTCAAGCAGGGCTCTGCACTTAACACCTTCAACTTCGACTATATTCATATGACCTCCAGCCACTAAGAGTTGTTCTGATTGCTCACAGATTGAAGTATGGTGTTTCTTGTTACATTTCTGACATCCGTGTTTGCTTTTACAGTTGACAGCACGATGTTGACTTCCTGTGCAATTGAAGCATAGTCTCTTTTCCGCCAGAATCTTTTTTCTTTGTTCTCTTGTTACAACCTTTGGGCAGTTCGTGCCTTTGTGCGTGGTATCCTCGCAGTACACACAACCTCGTTCTCGCGTGTCGCGTCCCGAATCCTTTGCATGGAAAAACTTCGATCTTGAACCTGTAATGTTCGTGGTTTTGTATCAATATCAAGCACTTTTAAGTATAACAATAGATATCAAACAACTTGTACAAACAGCATAGTACGTATCCAATTACTTCCCGGTTCCCTAGCCTCGTGCTTCAAAAAACTTAACTAACTTTCTAGTCACGTGTGTGCTAGTGTCAATAATGTCAACATTGCATCCCTCCCTTGATTTAAATATGAACTCTAGTACTAACTATAACAAAATATGCATATAATGTTTAAACTGTATCTTATCTGTTTTTGTCCAGGTCAATCATAAATGTTATTTCCATATCTGTACACCCGCTGTCTTTCTCTTGCCGGATATCTCGGACCATCATCTTGTCTCTGACCATTGTTCTGCCGCGGACGATCATTCTGTCTCAGTCCATCATACTGTTCATGCTCTTCGTGGACATCTTCATCTGAGGAATAATTTTCTTCATCCATTATCTCTGTTGACTCCAACGATCTGCCATGTCTGGGGTGATACTTTTTAAAGAACGAAATGTTCCGAGTTAAGCAGGGCGTAGCGTCGTAGACGTTTCGATAAACAGTTTTGAATTATGGCCGATTTTACTTCCTTGTCGATATTTTCGAAGTCACAGGTTGCCGCCAGCTTCCTAAGACGAGTTGAAAACTGATCGATTGTTTCATGTGGTTGTTGTTTGGCTTCACGAAACTTAAAAATTTCAAAATCGACATGTTTTTTAGGTGAAAAATACGTATCGAGGGCAGCGATAGCGGAATCATAGTCGTCGTCTTCGCCGATGTCAACAAGGGTATCAAAAATATCCTGAGTCTCTTGGCCAGCTTGGTACAACAAGAGAGCCCGCTTTTGTTTCTTTTCAGTCACATTCAGAGCAACAAGATATGTTTCAAATCGTCGTTTCCACTTTTTCCAGCGCTGACTGAGAGAGTTTGGATCGGACATGGGATCAAATGGCGCCATTGGAGCTACATTGATTCGGCCAGTCGCCATGACTGTATTCGTAAACTAGAGATTTCAAAATCGTTTGTATTGATAAACGATAGCTGTTTTTTTGTTTGTTTGTTTGTTTACCTCGTCGCCAATGTAATGTTCGTGGTTTTGTATCAATATCAAGCACTTTTAAGTATAACAATAGATTAATTAACTTCAGGTATGCCATAAACTGTTAAATATTAAATATTGACAATCTCCAACACCCGGCGAATAACAAAAACATTCACGTGCGCCATCACGTGAAGATGCGACCTTTGGACATGGGCGTACCGGAAGGAAAAAATTAGGGGGGCGGAAAGAAAATTGCCCGACTTTTCGAATTGCCCGACTACTACCGAAAATTTTTTTCCGGAAAAATAATTTTGGCGACCTCCCCCCCAAAATAATTTCGGTCAGTGTACCATTTTAGGGGTCAAAAAAATTTTCCGGACAACCAAACTTTTTCGGAACATAAGACAAATTTTCCAAAAAACACAAAATTGGCGCCCACAAAATTGACTTAATTTTAGACAAAATTGACAGAATTTGTCCCATTTTTTTTTATTGCACACCAAAATTGCCCGACGCCCAACAAACTGGGGGGGGCTTCCGCCCCCCCCCCGCCCCCCCGGCCGGTACGCCTATGCCTTTGGACATTCCTAGTACGTAATTAAAACTTTCGCTTTAAGTAACTGCAGTGTAGCCAGTGTTTAATATAACGTTTTAACAATAAAATATTTCATGTATTTACGTTCATTTGTTCTTTAATTTGTTGTTTCTTTGACTATTGATATATAATAAAACACTTATTTACTGAGACCTCGGGAAAGCAGTGTGTTTTGTGGACCCTCTACCGTCGATCGTGAAACATCGACGGTCTCGGGTCCACAAAACACACCGTTTCCCTCGGTCTCAGTAAATAAGTGATAATTATTTCCCTTTGCTACAAATTATCATATTTAAAAATAGAAAAAACTAAGTTTTATCGCGGTATTTGCCGATAAATCGGTAATCGCTACAGAAAAACAGAACAAATTACAGTAAATCACAACAAACTACAGAAGCGGAAGTTGGACACTTTTTGTATTTTCACTGTAATATCCAGCTTGGCTTGCACAGACAAAGGCCATGAATCGCTAGAATACTGTTGTTTAGTAATACATTTGATATCCGTCACATCCGTAAGTAAAATTTCTTACGCTGAATCGAACAACAAAGTCGAACGGACCACAGACACAGTGGTATTTTTATCCGGCCTTATTGCGCCATTAGGCATTACCAATACAAGGACAAACGTACTGCGAGTGATTTGTCAACAATACGTACTGCGAGCGATTTGTCAACAATACAATATCGCTTGGCTTTCAAAGACCATAAATAGCTAGAATACTGGGGCCGGTTGTACGAAAGGTGGATAAATCGCTATCCGGTGGATAAGTCCCTATCCAGCGGATAAATTTTATCCAGAGTGAAAATCGCGTTGTACGAAGCTTGGATAACTTTATCCAACGGATAAAATGCACTATCCGTTGGATAAATTTACCCAAGGTCCGGAGGTAGTTTAAATCCACTATCCGGCGGATAAAACTTAAAACTTTTCGTCCATCGTGGAAAAGTTTGTGTTATAAACTGAACAATTTACATAAATTTTGTACAATATGGCGTCTATCGAATTCCTGGTTTTCATTTACCTTTAAATAACCTACCTCGAGCCACTGATCTAAGATCAGTGACCTCGAGCAAACAGACGAGCAGAGCGAGTTTTTAGACGAGAAATCCCAGATGAAAACATCTTGCAGTACTATTCCGACAGCGATTTGCGAGCACGGTATCGTTTCGGTAGAGAAGCAATTTTGAACATCGTCCGCCTTATTGAAGAGGAAATACGTCCTGCAACGAACCGAAGCTTTCCAATTTCGGCAACAAATCAAGTGTTGATAACATTAAGATTTTTGGCAACAGGCAGTTTCTTGCAAGTTACAGGAGACACGATCGCTGGGGCAGATAAGTCTACCGTTAGTCGTATTGTTCGTCGAGTAACTTTGGCAATCGCTCGTAAACTTGATGATTTCGTGAAATTCCCGGGAACACAACACGAGAAAGCCCTCATCAAACAAGGGTTTTACGACCTTGGAGGTTTTCCATGCGTTATCGGATGTGTTGACGGGTCCCATATTAGGATCGTAGCTCCATCAGCAAACGAGTGCAATTTCGTCAACAGGAAAGGATATCATAGCATAAACATACAAGGGATCTGTGACCACAAAGGTTTGTTTATATCAAAGCAGGATAATTTAATACTAGTGTGAAACGCACCACATTCGTTCACACTATTCTAGCACAATATTCAGCATCAGCAAAAATTCCTTAGATTTTGTAAAATTTCCTTAAATGTGTCTGGGGAGGGTTGAAATCATGGGAGAGGGGGGAGTTTGGTGTTTGTTTTTTTGGGGGGTCACCAGAGTTTGAGAAGTAATTTTTTTGGGGGGGCTCATGGAAGCAGAAAGCTTTAGTTCTGTGACAATGTTTTGACCTCCAACATACCCAGTAAATGTTATGCCGAAAATAGGCTCTTACTTGTTTTTACTTTTTAGCCCCTTTTTTGAACCAAAATTTCCAACAATTTGCCAATTTTCCAGAAATGTGAGCGGGACAGTTGCCCACCACCCCCACCAAACTTGTTGTAAATATAGGCCTAGAGGCCTGCTAGCTTTTTCTCATTGAGCTTTAATTGCATATGGTACTATAGGGAAATTTCTCAATGTTGTTGCAAAATGGCCTGGTGCAACCCATGACAGTCATATCTTCAGAACATCAGCAATTGGGCTGGCACTAGAAGGAACAACATTGGATGATGGTGTTCTTCTTGGTGATAGTGGGTATCCATGTTTACCATATCTTATGACACCATACAACAACCCCATCACCGTACAGCAACGGCGATTTAATCGAGCACAAAAATGCACAAGATCTTCGATTGAAAGAGCTTTTGGCATCTTAAAAAGAAGATTTCATCTCTTGCATTCAGAGATTCGAATGGCCCCAAACAGAGTTTGCACTCTTGTTGCTGCATGTTGCGTGCTTCACAATATTGCCATTGATTACAATGAACCAATGGGGTATCATGACGAGGATGAAGACCAAGTAGACCTTGGCAATAACTATCAAGGTGCAAATAGGGGAGATGCTGTCAGAAGCCATATTACAAACACATATTTTTAATTCATGTTTCAAAAAATTGTAATTCAAATTTCTAATTGACACAATTAACTTAATATTATTTGTTATCGTTACATATATTTACAAAAATATTCTTACTTTATATTCAACAATTTTGTACAAAAATTTGAATCTGATATACACTGTCGTAGTATTATTTTTCAAAAAAATAAGCATAACAACGCACGGCATACAAAAGATGCAACAATATAATAAGGTCTAAAAATGGAGACCTTGCATGGTTTTAAGCATACAATACACCCTTTCGATGATTATGGCATTTGGCCTGGGAGCCTCGCTCTCATGAATTGTGAGCCAATCACCTTGCATAATTCACTAACGAAAGCAAGGGTCCAAGACCAAAAAGATTGTGTGACGTATTTATTGAAAGGGTGTATGTGTGGCATGCATATATTCAATGGGTATAATATACCTTTCAAATATAAACAATAAAACAAACTCAACTTGTCATTCAAATTAAAATGCTGCCTCTTCTGCTTCTTTAACTTCCAGTTTTAGTTTTTTTTAATGAGTTTTGCATTCTCTAATTCAACAGAAATCTTCTCCCTCTCTAATTCCAAGATTTCCATCTGCATTCTCTGCAGGTCTTGCGCTGTTACTTTCCTTTTTTGATATGGCGAGTAGTGGGAAGTGTTTGGTTGGAAGATTTGTTCTCGGCACTCATACTTGGGGGTAAAGCAATGAACTCAATATCGATTGTTGAGATAGAGATGGTAGGGTTCATTGGTGGTGGATCATCTCCTTCTGAGGGCTCACTTTCAATCAATTCTCGTAATGATGGTTGGTTTACAAATGGGTCATTGAAAAGGTTGTCAGGATTGATGAGTTCAGTTGTGTCAGTGACAGTAGTAATAAGCTGCTTATCATTTGATTCATTTCCTGAAAAAATCAATTTACTTTTATATAAATTAATGTACACGAACTGATGAAGTAGAATCCTATAGAAAACACACTCAAACATGAAACAAACTTGCTTGACAATAACAACAATGGTACATATCATGAACTATTTATTTACTAAACTACAAATATTGACTATAAAATATGAGTTATAACTTATCTGAAGCAATTAATACTGTCCTCGAGTCAAACTTTTATATAGTGTCCGGTTTAGTTTAGATATACCCAGTAGCTCGGCAGTCTATTTTACATTGAAACACACGGCTGCCTCATACATCCATTTCCACTTGGTCACTTGGACAAACTTGGTTGTTTTTAGACTATTTTCGACATGTTCTGTATCTGTCGTTTACTTTTCAGCTATGCCTATGATTTCAGTGATAAATATGCTGAAATATTTATTAATTGGGCAAAATTACGCAACCTACCGGATTCAATGCCCCCCGTTATACCGGAAAAGCTGGGCTCGTCTTCAAAGAGCTCGATGATTCGCCGAGACGTTTCCTTGACTGGCGCCGGTGCACTTCCGCCTCCGGTTTGCTTCTGTTGATGTTTTGTGCGACTGTAATCTTTTTTCGCTGCAGAGACCATCGTTCGCCACTTAGGCCCGTTTCATACGTCGCACTATCGTCGAATTTAATTCAGACGAATTTAATTGAACCAATTAAATGCGACGTTAGTGCGTCGTATGAAACGAATTAAATCCGTCTGATGAATTAAATTCGTCCAAGACGTTGTATCTGTCATGGTCAGACGGATACAACGTCTGTAGCGCGTCTTCGTTTCATACGACGTGTTATCGTCGTGTCGAATTAAATGCATAAATTATGTTAAAGTCTGTTTCTCTCTTTCTGGTCTCGTGGTTTTTTACTTCTGGGTAATCCATGATCGCTAGACATGAAATGAATTCGTCTGAATTAAATTCGTCGTTTGAAACGAAACCACTTTAGTGTCGACCAATTGACGAATTTAATAACGAATTAAATTCGTCTGAATTAAATTCGACGTATGAAACAGGCCTAATCTTTGATTTCACCGGTCGTCCTCCTGGCAACGCCGATGGCATTGACTTTATCCGTAATGGATTTCCATACGTTGGCCTTCATTTTATTGTTTAACGTATTGGAAAATTTTTCTCGGATAACGCTCAAATTTTCCTCCGCCAGTTCGAGCAACACTGATGCAGGGACCGCGGAGACGGGGGGGGGGCTGGGGGGGCTTTAGCCCACTTCTTTAGCCCCCTCACATTTTTATTTTTGTTGTGTTAAGTTTTTTAAGGAGGGCTTAAAATTGTTAAGATACTTTTAAATTTTTTTCTGCGCTGGTGTTGTGTACTCAGGTGAATAATATGTTTGTGATGTTACTCTGAGTGCATATCCACACCGGGCGAGCTTGAAAAATGCCCGGTCACGGTGGGATTCGAACCTACGACCTTTGGAATACTAGCCCAATGCTCTTCCAACTGAGCTACGCGGTCAGGACGGTTCGAGTAAGTGATATTTCGGAACAGTATCTAGTTCCTTCAATACCAATGTGTTCTTGTAATATGAATTTTTTTCTGCGCTGGTGTTGTGTACTCAGGTGAATAATATGTTTGTGATGTTACTCTGAGTGCATATCCACACCGGGCGAGCTTGAAAAATGCCCGGTTCGAATCCCACCGTGGCCGGGCATTTTTCAAGCTCGCCCGGTGTGGATATGCACTCAGAGTAACATCACAAACATATTATTCACCTGAGTACACAACACCAGC